ACCCAACACCCACACCCACACCTTGCACTTGCACCCACACTCACATTCTCCACTTCTTAAAAACCAGGAACAGGCTTTTTTCAGAAATAACGGAAAATATTTTTCCTCTCTTTCTCAGACTATACTGTTGCACATGCGCCACCCGAATTTCTCGGTCCAGGCTCATTCAATATTTTTAATTTTCTTTTTGTTTGGAATTTGGAAGAGGACGTCAAAATTCAGGGCACCATAGAGTTCTTTTGAAATTAAGCTTTGTTTTTTTTATTATATATGCAAACAATTATGTAAATTGGTGCCCATCTTTAGAGGGTTCTCTAAATTATTGAACTTGCGATCCTTTTTCTCCGATTAAAAAAGTTATAATTTTAAGAAAAGGACTCTGTAGTGGCCTATATCTTGACATGCTCTTTCAAACAAAAAAAATATTTTAATGTGTTGAAAGAGCCTGGACAGAGAAAAATGGATTGCAAAATGAGCTATGTTTTGCCCTTGTTTGGTACATATCTCTATCAAACATCATGGTACAGGGCTGAGAATTTTGCCATTGTGTCTCCACGTCAGACTCAACATGATCTGAAAATTTCAGACGATTTGAATGTACTTGGCCCTGGCATCGATTTGTCAGGAGAAAGGCCAGAGTTTGAGCGTAGTGTAATGTTTTTATTGAGAACAGATGTATTCAGAACGAGTTAGCAAAATTCAAGTTTTTTTTGTTATTACCTTCCGCTCACCAGTCATTTGGTTTTCGAATTGATACTCATATGAAAGTTTGTCTGCCATTTTAACAGCTACTTCTTCTTGATGAAACTATACACGTAAGAATCAATTGAAAATATTGCGGTCTTCTCATTGAAACTATTTACTTAGCTATTTATGTTAGCAGCTAGTTGATCTCTTTATGAGTACATTCTTATACGGTGATTATGGACGAAAGCAGAAAGAAGTACAAATTAAAGTTACTTGATAATCAAAAGTTCAGAAAGTATCGAGAAATAACGTACGGATGAAACATAAACAATTAGGAAAAGCAATAAATTTTTATTGCTTCCCCGAATTCTTTTTAGAGAAAGCAATTGCTAACTTGTTGCTTGCTGGTGCGCCTCCCATGAGCGAGAGAAAAATGACAAAATAATATAGGTTACGACAATATTTTTTCTTTTCTTCTTCCCTCCATAAGTCATTGTTCATGTTACTATTGATGACCAATTTCTTTTTTATTTTGCTAGGGTATGTAACACTCGGAAGTGCTTACATAGAATTTAAAGATAAAGTATTTTGTGACATCAGAATCAAATATAACAATTATAAGCTGAACGTTTTAACATTCGTCATTGTCTTAATATCGAAGCTTTTGACGAATTGATAATGCTGATAGAGGGATGGAGAATGAAAAATGAAAAGAAGAAAAGAAAAATAAAAGAAGAGAGAAGGAAAAATGAAAAAGAAAACATATATGTAATAAAGAAAGAGAAAGAGAAAAAAAATGAATAAAAGGAACTACTCTGCGTAAAGAGAGACATGATAAAATGAAAAGAACAAAGGCAAAATGAGTACGACATTGGCACTAGTTTGTTTCAACGAAACTCAGCCATTTCAAAAGGAACGACTCGTGTCGATCAACTAGTAATCGCACACGTCGCAAACAAAAAAATTGGCCAAGGTGATCATTTTTTCTTTTGTAGAATTCGCTCCATACAAATATATCATTATAAAAAGGTGAAGATCCAAGATCTGTTAAATGCATTGTTTTCAGTCTCCTTTGGACGTACTTTTTAACATAGAATTCTAAGGGGAACTCTGAAGTTACTGTGAAAAGATTATGTGCGGAGACGAAAGGACAGCGATACACCAATCTAAGACCCATACGAAATTTCTGGTTCAGTATTTGTTTCTGCGATTCTGGTAACAGAGGATAGAAGGGAAATAACCAAGCAAAGTGAGGAAATGTATATGCGAAGAAGCATTGACGAAGTACTTTAGGTGACACAATTCTACCAGACAGTAACCACTTCAGCTTACCTAAGGATCTTTGAATATCCACGATACATTTATCGACAGTAGGTTTCAAGGATAACTTATCCGTCCATGTGAACCCTAAGTACTTGAATTCTCTGACTAACTCGATTTGTTCACCGTTCATTGTTACATTTATTATAGGTCTTTTTACTTGTGTATGAAATAATTGTGCCACTGTTTTAGTCACATTTATTGGTTGCTTCCATTTCTTCGCGTATGCGTATATTTCATTACAGATTCGAGTACTTTCTTTCTCTATATATTGAATCATTTGAGCTAGTTCCTTCAGAATAGGTGGCTTAATTAAAACACTCAGATCGTCTGCGAAAAGATGACAAGAATGTGCTCCTAAACAGTTTATTAAATCGCAGTGAAAAACTATGAACAAGTATGGACTTAAACTACTACCTTGAGGGAGTCCTATACTTATATTGAACATTGTTGACGTTTTTTCACCAAACGCAACATAGGCCCTCCTATCTTTTAACCAGCTTTCGATTTTTTTCAATAACTCGATCGGCATACCAAAACTCAATAGTTTCACTAACAGAGCTGCATGCCAAACACGATCATACGCCTTCTGATAGTCTACATAGATCGCAAGTGTAGGTATATTGGCTGCCATGTTGTTTCTAATCTCTTGATAGATTGATAGTACTCGAGTAGGAAGTAGACATTTTGGCCGAAATCCTGATTGCTCTATAGGAACTAATTGATTACTTTCTGCCCATTCTCTAACTCTTAGAAGCAAAACTTTTTCAAAGAGTTTTGAATGTGTTGCTAACAGAGAGATTGGACGAGTTTGATCGCACTTGGGAGCACCTGATTTAAGTTTGTTTAAGGTTACAATCTTTGCTACTTTCCATTCATCAGGATATCTACATTCACTCAACCAAATATTAAAGCAATTGGTCAGACATTCTATATAGCTCGGAGGCAGTTTTTTAATCATAAAATTTGACACTTGGTCAAAACCACTTGATTTTTTGGGTTCTAATGTCTTTATTAATCTTCTAATTTCTTCAACACTAGTAGCTCTCACCGGGTTGTTACTATTGGATAATTTAGTTAACACTTCTTTATATTCCGACTCTACTTTAGCGTCATGTGCATCAACAGAGTCTACTAAGGATGCTCGAAATTGATCGCAATAATGTCGTCTTAGTTCTTCTGTTATTTCTTGATGTGCCGATAGTACTCTGTTATTTGTTGCTAATTTATAGAACGGCAGTGATCTTGTTCTATATATACGAGATAGGTGCCTCCAATATGCTTTATCTTTGTTATCATGAGTTGACTGGATGTCTGACAAAAAACTTTGCCATCGATCTGCTTTATATTTACTTATCAAATTCTTTGATTCTTTAGTCATAACACACAATAAAACTCTTGTTTCTTCGCATAATATTTCTTTTTGTCTAAGGTGGTAGTATTTGTTTCTTATTATTCTTGTTTCTTTTAATTTCTCGATAATGTTACTTGGTAAAGACGGTCTGTATTTTTCTCTTTCTTTCCAATAAGTCACTCTATTCTTAACAGCCGCGATGAAGCGAATGTATTGTTTATACCATTCGTCTACGCTGTTATTATTTCTTTGTTCTTTCTCCCAAAATGACTGGAATAAAACTAAAACTGCTTCAAATGCCTTCCAATTTGTATGAGGAAACATACTATTAGTAGGAAAAGATACATTTTTACATGAAAGTAACGTCCGCCAATGATCACTAGTGCCTATATTTAATGTTTCACACGAAATATCAATGCTATTTGAAAATGATAAATCTATATTACGTAGAGAGCGTTTTGATGTGTGGGAAGTTGATGGTATGTACTTAAGATTATTTTCATCAATCCATTCCTTCACGATCGCACCTCTTTTATCTGTAAATGGACTATTCCATTCCTTCACTGTAGCGTTAAAATCACCAGTCAGTATCGTGCCATCAACTATGTAAGGGAGAATATCATCAAGCTCGCGTTGTTGACTACTAGATCAATAAATACCAATAATACGTAATGGCTCTGATAGGCCTGTTATATCTATAATAACTGTATTTGGTGTTTTGACATTAATACACGTTGCTTTCAAATGCTTTCCTACTGCTATACACACTCCTCAATTTTTATTTGTGCCTTCTTGATAAAACATGTTAAAATTTGGCACTTGACATGTGCTCCATGTCTCTATTACTTCTGTAAAAATACAAATAGAAGCTTGTACTTTGTATGCTATATCAATTGCCTCTAAAGCTCGTGTGCCCCAGCCTTGAACATTATAAGACAGAATCTTCAAATTCTCACTTTGATCGTTGAAATTGGCGGAACCGATTTTCTTCCACTGATGTAAAACCGAATTCAAGGTCTTATTTGTATACCACTCGTCTAGGAGAGAGGATACTAAATTATAATCCTTTACTGAAAAGTTCCATATTCTTAATTGGTGTAACGCTTGTACTTTCGGATTTAAGGTTTGTGATATCGAGGTGGAGGGAAAAAACTCTTTTGCATGAACATTCAAGCTAGACATACTATTTAGCAAGTTAAAGGTTCTCTGTTGTTGGCATTATAGCAGTTGGTTGAATAATGTTGTTGCTTAATATTTGTGATGGTGCATGCGAAACTTTACGATTAAGTTGAAAACCATCATTTAAACTCATAGCTGCACAGCAAAAACGATTGTAGAATTGCTGTACGATTGGTATTAACGATGCTCTATCATTCTTGTTATACGTGAGGGATGACGGTATAAATTTTTGAGTGAAGTCTTTCATGGTTTCGATAACATCGAGTAATACCGCTTGGTGTGATTGAGTATCAAGAGTAACTACTTTTAAATCTATTTTGAATTGATCAACTTTTTCGTCTATTCGTTTATTGCTATCTAAGAGTTTCAGCAAATTATTATTGATACTTCCTACTGACATTTCTGTTTCTGGTGCTGTTGTTGTATTAGGTAGACGTGACATAAGACCTTGTACTATGTTTCATTTCGGAGGTTGACTCACAGTATTTGTTGCTAATGCTGGAAAATCTTGTTCTCGGAGTTCGAATGTTGGTGCTTTTTCTTTTGGTAAAATACGATGTAATTTGCCACTATTAATAGCTTCTTCAACGTCTACTTTTAATTGTAGCTTATAGTCACGAATTACCTGACATTGATTATCCGGAGAGTGGTGTTTTCCATTACATTGTGCACATTTAGTTTCCTTTTTACAAATGTGCAATGAATTTTCTGTGAGCATCTCAAGGCAGATTCGACATATAGCTGATGAATTACAATGGTTTCTCAAATGACCAATACACCAACATTTGGTACAATAGGTCAAACGATTACCTGGATAAAATGGAGTAACTGATAGCCATGAATAACCTATAGCAATACGACCGAGTTTTAGTATTGATTGATATTCTTGATAATCTTTGACTTTGAACCTATAATCACTGGTTTTTCTTTTGTAATTATACCGAATACGACTTGTATGATTTGCCGATGCAATAGTACGTTGTATTTCGTTTGCTACGAATTCTTCATCTAATTCTTGTGGAACATAACGAATAACAAGTACGAAAGCGTCTGGCGTATATTTAGGCTTTATGACTTCAATATCGACTCCATTGATCTTAGCAGGCCATTTATCAGTTGCGACAAGAGTAGCGTAGTCGACTTTATTATTCACACCTAGTTTAAGTTTTCTACCAGCCCAACCCACTAGGGTAAATCCATTGATTTCTACTCTATTTCTTTTCAATTCTTTGCGTATTAGCTCACTCGCACATATAGCTGATGGTATTTTTTTTCGATCAGTGTCAGGTGGCCATTGTACGTGGAAGCACGGCAGGTTGGATGAAACTACATGTTTCAGCTGAGCAAATGAAATACGTTTACGAGTATTGATATTTTCGGTAGTAACTTGTTGAGCAACGGTTAATGACTCATTGCCTTGACGTTTATTTTGTGTCATGTTTTGTATATTGTTCAGTTCGATCTCGTTTTCTTGACTTTGCTGAAATCTTTTTCGCTGCTGTTGTCGTCGATTGCTTCCGTTATTTATAGAACCACCACTTTCATCAAGAGGATGACTACGTTTCGGTGTAGAGCTGTTTGGTT